ACAAATTACAATTGTAATATTACTGAAGAAATAGTGAAACAAGTAGACATATTTGTCTGCCCTGTCCTTCAAAAGAAAAGTAAAACGTTTCGTGTGGACATTCAAAGAACAAAGCATACACCAATCTGACAACACAGATTTGATAATGAGCGCTTTTGATTGTTCTTCTCTGAGTGAAGCTCAATTTTCCTTTGGAAATTAAACTTAAAAGAAACTATTTTGTTTCCTGTTACGTGACGTTTCCAAGTGATACAAAATATGTGGCAAGTTTTGTTCCTGGAAGTAAACGGTAATAACGTGTCATATTCGACAACTGCACTGGCAGTTTTATTACGGGTTGGGTGGAATTCACCCAGCTCGTAACCACGAAAGTATCCATGAGAGTAATTATACTATGATTTTTGATAATGCATGCACATCGTTACAAAATTTTGCAGGTTATTGTTAAACGTTACGAGGTTTTCGTACACAAAATATCAGATTTCTAAAATAAGTATTAAGATTTTTTAATTAAAGATTTTCTCGTAAACCTTTTTCTTTCAAAATGTTGACTATCCAACATGCAATGTAATTTTGATTTTACGATTAAAATACATTAATTCAATAGAATATTTTCAAATTTCACATGTGAAATCTTTATAATTTCTAGATAATTATAAAAAAATTGTAGAAAAACTAATTTATTTGTTAGTTTCACTAGTGTATTTTTGTAAGGGTTGATTCGATATGACCGACTTCGTAACCTCAATAAAGAAATTAGAAAAATATATATATTATGCTTTTTGCGTTCTAGAATGACTACAAATTATAACACGAAAACAAATTTTTAGTCTAAAAAGCTTAAACCTCATAACCTTATACAGTAATACATACGTATGTAATGTATTTATTTATTTAGTCATTCCTGGCCAACAATACAGGTTACAATGACGCGGCGCACGTGCACTCGTGTTAGCATATCCAATAATACATAAATAACCTTTTGTCTACAATTACAAAGTGACCTGTCTTGGCCGTGTTTTAGTGGATTAGTATTTTGTCACATTTCAACTATTATACATTATATATGTATAAACATTATTTCTATTTACAAATAAGCTCTTAAGCTTATTTTTCTTAAAAGGTAGAACAGTAAATAAAGAAGTAAAGCAAACAAACTATCTCGTCTGGATAAGACCTTTGTATTCGTTTGTCGCAGGCTGCTAAGCCTTATGAAACTTCCCACGTGGAGGATGTAAAATAATTTTTTTAGGTGTTATATATACACATTTGAAATAACCAAAAAAAACCATAAATTACTATATCAATACCATAACATACCACTATAATTTATCGTGTGTAGTAACTAAGCTGTATTTTGGTCTAAAAAATATGAAATTTCGAGCTCACTAAAGACTTACCTCATCGTTTCGAAAGAAAGAAATTAGCGCAATAACACGTCAATTTCAATTGGTTATTCATGTCATATATAGAAGTAAATGTATACAAGTGACCGTTTCCAAAATTAGAAAAATGTGAGCTGGGGGCCCACTGTGTTTGACTCAGTACAGGAGCGATATCTTAGATAAGACGTTCTTATTTTATATTCTAGCTTGTCAATATCGGTATTTCATGTTCCCAATTCGCACGAAACTGTAGATTTTGTATTTTGACATCTAATTTGAACTAGTGCTACATTCAACATACTACGTGACACACAAATTGATGTTTAGCTGGGTTTTTTAATACTTACGTTTAATTTAAAAATTAACTAACGTATGATATTAAAATTTGAATTACAATCTACAATTTGGTATCAAACTTATTGATATGCATTCATAAAATAGTAGCTCAATAAAATTTTGAATGTGAGTTTACAAACGCGGTGACATGGCCTTTGACACGTGAGATAGGGTTAAAGGCTATTTTTGTTTAGCGGATTTCATATTTAACACACAATGTCTTATGATTGGTTTGTTTTGCTCCCGTAAATCAAAAGTCACTACTTTTGAACTAATAGATTTAGAGAGAAGGTTGTTAGTGAACAGGCTATACTCCAATAAAAATGTGGGTTGTGACAGTAATTCAAAGAACCCACCAACGACATATTTGTGGCAAAGAGACGTGAACCACGAACCTTTGGATCCACAACGTCCCACGCTAACAACTAGGTTACGCTTGGCCTAATTTATGATAAATTAGAGCCGTTAACTGTTTTGAGCATTTCTTCCAGAGTTATTTCTCTTCATGGCACTGGGGTTCACAGGAGTCGATCAGTCTGTGTGTACTATAAAATCAATCCTGCTTAGCAACCGTTCACGTATATATATCGTTCACTCCTTCCATAACAATACTAGAGAATCATGCCATTGGATACACAATGTGCTCTTTAGTTTACTTATTTCCTATATAAATGATAGATAATACTTACTCTTAAAAAGTATACAGTCTTAAAAGAAGCACTTCAAACTTTTCAATTGCATCTTAAATAAACCTATTTGTATGTACCTTTTCATAGTTAGCAAAACTTCACGTGGTGGAAAGTGAGATTTGCGAGATTATAATTTCATAATAAGACGCAAAAGACGCATGTCTCGAAAAAATGGTCGTTTTTCTTCCAATAGAAAGACTAGAACCAAACGTTTTTTTGTTTTTCAGATAATATACATTCACATCCTCGATCACTGAATATTCTTCTATTAAATAGTTAGTGTTAATGAAAATGAAGAAGTAAAATAAATACTGTCGTCCCCGTGGAAAAGCGGTAAGTTAACGAGCTTATAATGCAAAAATTCGGGGTTCGATACCCCGCACTGGACAGATTATAGATAACCCAACGTGTAGTTTTGCACTAAAAAAAAAACAATGTAAACATCGTCACCGTGACAACTGTTCTATTTCCATCTTTACTTTAAATTATCCTCAACATTTTTTTTTATGTTTTGTTATTTTCATCTCGGTATTTATTCTACATATTATGAAGTAAGATTTGAAAAGAATCTCCAGGCATGCCTTGAAATACTGGTCAATACCAAGATAAAATAATGATTCGAAAGGCGATTTGCTTGAAACGTAAACCGATGATGACATATTTATGGTTTTATGGGCCTTTAGTTATTGAAAGCTATATTTTAAAATGCCCTCTTATAATTGGAAGTATTTGCCAATATAACCATAAATATAATGACAATAAAAAGGTAAAAAAAACAGGTATCAGAAAGAACGAGAATGTCAGCCTTATTATTAGCTTTTCACCAGTCATAAATATTCTGCAGCATTTACAATTTTCGTCATTTCACCGAGAAAGAAAGTCTTATCTGACACCATGATTTACAAGTACAGTAAACAGACACGAGCAGAGATATATCAAAAATTCAATATTATAAGCATTTTACACGTCAATTTGAGTGCACGAGGTATTCCCCATCAACAATCATCAATCCTGTTTTACCAAAGATTCTTTATCAAACCAGTGTTTCGATCCCTTCTAATGAAACGTCTTTTTTTTCTTAAGGCGGAAAGTGTTTGAAAGTTGTGTCCTCATTACTTTCAAGAAATTCCTTTTTTTTTTTAATTCTTGCATGTTATGAGATAGACCAAAAACGGAAATTGTTTTCTTTTGGGTCTGTCACTTTAATTAAAGGGTAATTGAAACATACTATAGTTAATATTGTCCAAGGCAACAAAGCTCTTCAATGTTGACTAGAAGCTAATAGAACGTGGAACATTTTGAAATAGTAAGGCGAATGCTTTTGCACAAATTTCATTTTAATTCCTAAGCTATGAATTATATCAAAACAAACAAACTGAATATAAGGCATTGTTGTTTGTCAAATCTTTAATTAAAATTAAAATACACAATACGAACACAGCAACAAGCGTACAAGATGCAATATGTAGTTTATACTAAAAAACTTCTCGTAATTTCCTTGTTTACGTAAGAACTGGATAATGCTAACATATGAGATGTTCGGTTTTCAGTGGACCTTGATAGTTATTTCATGCAACTTTCCGGTCATCTCGAATTGAGGAAGCAAACATACCTTTGAGTCATAAACACTCCAAACGTTAGAACATACATGTCACCCGCTACAATGGAAAATGATGGGTGTTGTATCTTACGTCGATATATTTCGACGTGCAGGTTTTTTGTTGTTATTTTCTGAGTTTGACTAGTAACGCAAAATCCTTTTTTTTTCATAAGATATTTTATTTCACACTGAAGTGGATGTAGTACATCGTTCGCCAAATGTACTTCTTCGAGGCTGAAAATCGCAAAAAAAGTCAGTGTTAGCACTCAATATATCTTTATTCTTTTTTTCCATTAAATTTTATTATTTACACTATTTGTGGTACGCATTATTCAGTGCAACAAAAGAAGCATTAATCAGTCGCATATAATTGATTATTGTTATTATTCATTACTTAGAATGCCACAAAATGGATAAAAGACACGCTACTTTCTTTGTTAAATTGTAACAACTGTGATAATCTTTGAAGTTTTTAAAATGAATACTTCTTTTTTATTAAACGTGATAGAAAATAGTCAAATTGTAAAGACGAGTCTTATTGAAAACCATGTCTACACCATCGATTTAACAATGAACTGAAATAATCAAATTTAACTTTAGGAAAACTAGCTCTTAACAACAAGAAATAAATCTTTAAATAAACCAATTCATTGGTTTTGGTTACCATTTCGTGGGAGTGTCATAGGGAAAAGCAAGATCAAAATATTAACAACATTCTGACATAAATTTTCCATAAGGAAAACAGAAAATTTATGTCGACCTTACCTTTGAATCGAGAAAAGACAATGTCTTCATTAATGGTCTAATAAGATCAAAATGTCAGTAAAATTCTGACATTTATCTTCCATATGGAAGACAAAATTTATGTCGATCTTACCTTTGAATCGAGGAAAGACGATGTCTTCATTAATGGTCTAACAAGATCAAAACGTCGGTAAAATTCTGACATTTATCTTCCATATGGAAGACAAAATTTATGTCGACCTTACCTTTGAATTGAGGAAAGACAATGTCATCATTAATGGTCTAATAAGATCAAAATGTTGGTAAAATTCTGACATTTATCTTCCGTATGGAAAACAGAAAATTTATGTCGACCCTACCTTTGAATCGAGGAAAGACAATGTCATCATTAATGGTCTAATAAGATCAAAATGTCGGTAAAATCCTGACATTTATCTTCCGTATGGAAGACAAAATTTATGTCGATCTTACCTTTGAATTGAGGAAAGACGATGTTTCCATTAAGGGAGTTTCAGCTGTTATGTGGCATTCTTCATCTTCATGTTCAGGTTGTATCATATATGGCTGCTTTTGTTTAAAAATGCCAATCTGCGCAAATTCTGTGGGGAGGTTCTGCCGTCTAACACATTCTAGAGGCTGAGTTTTGGGTAAAGATAATTCAGCATATGTAATCTCATGGTGACCCTAAAACAAAGGATTTAGATCAGCTGAACATATATAACTTGTGTATATATGTGTGTGTGTGTGTGTGTATGTATGTATTTTGATTACAAAATACAATGTTTACATTCGAAAACTCATTACTATTTACTTATTTTTCTATTTTCCTGAATGAGTTTCAACTTATGGCAGACAAAATGCTTACAGTTACAAACTGTTACATAAAATAATACAAAAATCACCAACTATAGGCGGAGATATAGACATTAGTCTGACATAATAAATTGGAAATCCGAGAATATCCAAAGCCA